GGCGTGATCTAGTTTCGATGGGCGCGTGGAACGATGCGCACACGGACCCAGGCAACTTTTTAAAAGCCCTAGAGTAAGGTTATTACTAATTGCAGACTGAAATCTGAGTTTCAAAACAAGATCTCAAAGAGCTCATGCTCTAAACTCCTGGGAGAGTTCCCAGAGCTGAAAAAACGAGGTTAGTAGTTACTTTATTACAAAGCTTGTTATCCGATTTGTAGATGCTCATATGAAAATACAGACAAAATGTTCTGATGGTTCCTCATTCCAGACATCTGCACCGTCTAGAGTTATCGAGCGACTTTCCAGGCGGGACCAACTGGTGACACCCATATGGGAACTCAATAAAGTTTATTTCATTGTTGTCAATCGCCAAAATAACAGACCAATTTTTTCCATAGTTGACGCGTACAAGTACGAGTCAAAGAGTCGAAAAACGGCCTAGATAGGGTGTAATAAGAACCCCAAAAGCGACTTAGCAGATGTGTACACCTAAAGACGGAGGAGATATCAGGCGTTGTAAAGGTTGCAGAGGTTGCAAAACTCACATCGGGACGGACACGTTGCACGCAAGCAACTTACTGTAGTTGTTTGTAGTTGCAATGGCACACACACACACTGACAACTCGTCCTCACGCCCTTTCCATGCAACTTTCGCAATCTCGTCCAACCCCTAATTTCCCCTCATATTTTTCTAGGTGCACACAGTTTCGCGTTCTCTTTGCCTTTTTTGCCAACTCTTGACTATTAGTAGCATTATTCTTCTGAAACTAAATATCCCAAAGTTATCGTCAACTGAGACTATAAGGACCTGAAAGTAAAGAAAAGGCAAATACCAAGTGAAATGTCGAGTTTACTACGGTCTGCATGCAGATGAAGCAAAGTGGAGGTATGATAAGGCATTTTGAGTCGACCTTATAGATAGGAAAGAGAGAAATAAAAAACGGGGCAGTAAAGCGGTAGGTTGGAAAAGATTCTCTACTGAAATCGTGCAGAATCGTTACAGTACCAATGTTTTATTCGAATGTCTGACAAGTCGAATGGGATCATGATCGCTGTGTGCTGCGCCGCGCGGGTATGGGTACGTTCACCCAGAACTGTATGGACGCGGCAAATCGCGCGGCGAAAATCGTGACGATTTAAATTACTTCCGCGTAATATTGGGCCCCAAATTTGAAGTATAGTCGACTAGTACGGTCATCTGTCCATACTAACGTACTCTACTTCAAGTTTGCTCCCCAATGATAGGTGCCAAAGTCGTCCTAAACGTCAAGAATCTCGCCGCGTCCATCCAGCTCTGGGTTAATTTTCCGTCCCCGCGCCGCGCACATCGCGCGCGGTGTGACCTAGTTTCATCGACGATAGGATTGGACGGACCCCGGGAAGAGCCGACTATAATTCCATCTTCCAACAGAATCTAGGTACATTTAATTAACAAAATTCAACCTCCGATTGTTTCAGTCCAATTTTGCTGACCCCATACAATTATGACTCATGACGAGTTCAAAGTCATTTGTGGCTCACGCTCATCACGTTACGCAGGTGCTGCAAATAGAGCAGAAACGCACGTAATAGACAACTTGTCTGCTTCCAGAGAGCGACTTACCACGCAATTTTCGAGATCAAACTCGTTCCAATTCCTAATTGAGTACGCGGCAGTTTTCGCGGCTCTAATCATAGTGTTTGAAGGCTATTATGTCGGCCTTTCATAGTAATGTGAAACCATTGCTCACTTATCTGCAATTTCCTGATAGCCCTAAAGCTGAACAGAGCGCATTCCCCACGTTCGGCCCTTTTGTGATTGTCTAGTGTCTCTCTGTCACATCCTAGACAGGAACCCTTTCATCACTTCTGTGAGGGAGACGCATGTGAGAGGCTCGTGTGTTCAACATATCGAATGGATTCAGTTACAGTTCCATTCAGTTCCATTCACAGCATAGCCTCATTTCCATGGATGTATGGTCTCTTAGTTGGTCTCGGTAATCACCTAGTGACGGAAACTGCTTTCTCACTGTGTTATCGGGAAATATTTACCTCTAATCCAAAAATACATGAGGCAAAAGAACTTCCGGCTGTGGCGAACCACATTATTCAAATCACTCAGTTAATGCGAAAGCCATTTTCTGCTCCGATTCTACCTTCCGGTTACAAGCCAATGATCTTCGATGGTGCTGTGAAACCACCTACACCTTCCTGCAAGTTTTCTCGTAGTTCTGATGACTGCCTACATTTGTCGCCCACGAGGCTCTGAACGTTAATTCGAGAGCGCTGAAACCACTTCTAGAATTAATCTAAGGGCATGGTCCACGATAATTTTAAGGTACCCTTTTTAGTCGAAAAGCGAAAGTGTTCGGTGGGAACAGTTAGTCGGTAGTGAATGAAGCGAGAAAATTCACTGTTTCCGAGAAAAACAAGGCTCCTTAAAAGAAGGGATAATGGGGATTGGACGAGGTTACGACGACGAAAATAACATGGTAGGGATATTCGCAAGAGATTTCAGCTGTTGCAATTGTGCAAGGGACCGACTACATCAAGCCAATACTATACAGGGCTACTCCCACTGTCACTATGGGCCATGGCAAGTTGTTTGAACATCCTAAATCAGTTCCTCTGCGATCGGTGCAGTCCCTACGATGCTGGTGGCGAAACTCGTCCGAGGATACATACGGTGCAACTTCTGAGCCTTTATAACGCCCTATCTAGGCCGTTTCCAGGTATGGAAGCGCCACATACGGCATACGGGAGCTTTACAGATTTATTCTAGTGGGATATCTTAAAAGTCATTTTTCGTGAGCTGTACCTTTAAAGATGGTACGCTGCTGCTAAATATTTCGTCAAGCTTCGATTCAGCCGCTCCTTCGAAGCAACCTATTCTACTAAAAATTTCTCTCAGACTTTAATCTCTAGCACTTTCGACAGTGCCATATATGCAGACTACATAAAGCGACTATAATTTCCAACTATGGTTTGATCTGACTCGTGAAAGAAATGAATTTATGCGTTTCAGCTTGGTAGTTTAACTCTTATCTGCTGGAAATTGATATTCAGTCGTCAACGATAGGATGCTGGCGCTTCTTCTTTTTTCTTTCCTGCACAACAGCCACCAGCAGCAAGACGGTGACGTTCCAATTGATTTCTTAAATTTGCCTTGGAACACTTTACCAGAGCTTCTGAATTTGAATGGTTTCAGATTGCGAGTTCACACCTCGTATCATCAATTCAACGACGATAGTCGAGCTTGCAAATCGTAATTGCAGTACAATCACCGGTCCGATTCGATTAGGTATGATATTAGTCTAGGCTGAGGCAAATCCCTTTTCTTCTCAAAATTTTCTTCATGAGGAGCTGGTCCCTTGCTTTTTTCAAGGACCACAAATTTATGCAGGCTCTTTGCATCTGGCGAAGCTCAGATGCCCAAAGCCACCGTTTAAGATAATTTTGGGGTACTTACCGTTAGTTTTAGGTAATAATGGATGTTATCGTTCAGAATAGTTCAAAGTTAGAGAAGATATGGGAAAATCTGCGTATTTTGAGGAGTACAAGGCTACCATTAAGTGGTAGAATCAGGGGTAGGACGGGAATGTAATGACAAAAGTTGTGAAAAATCAGTGGAACCACCTCGATTCCATATGATAAACAACGGGGGACCCTAAGGAAAGTATTTCGTTCAAAGGGAGCACACCGTCAAAAACATGTATGAGTAGAGATTTGCCATTAGCACCCTTTGGGCCGTGAGGGTCGATCCCCTTGAATGAAGTTTCTGGAGGTGCAATGCAGCAATTTCAAAGAGTTTATGAAAAAATTCTTGTACAAATCCAAAATTTGTTCTGGTAGGTCATATTAATCCGAATATTTAAAGATGAGACATCTGATGTGACATACGAACAGCTCCAGGAAACATTCCATAACATCCACCTGATACAAGGTCCCATGGAAATTGTTAACACGTCATTCACGAATCTCAGCTTCATGAGGACATTGTTCACTCTACTATCCCATTCAGAAGAGGACAAAGGTGGGTTCTTGGCATTGCTTACATTTTAGGCGAAAACAAAGCTAAATGTACGGGTCCCTGAACCTTGGTAGTTCGAATCTTCAGTGGAATGAAAGGGCCCGGCGTTCACAGCTGCAAAATAGTTTTCTTCAGTGTCTCCTGAAGACTGCTCTGTTTAATCCGAATTCTTTGGTGCAACTCTGAGTAGCGTTCATTTTTGTTTAATTTTTCTTGAAGCCGCTGCAAGTATTTGTGATAAATAGCCTGCAATCACATCCCCTAGATGAGGCCATGCACGACTCCCAGTGGATCTTGACATAGTTTATTGTTGTGCCAATTACGGTGGTGGAGACTTGGTCGAGGCAGACAGCTTTTCTTAGGATAACGTTTCGGCCTTGAATTCACGGCTTGGAAGGCAGTTTAAAAATCGTCTGCGGGGTGTGGGTACTTCTCCCCGAAAATCGCGCCGCGCTCGCCAAACCCGAATGCGCGCAATTCAATCTATGGAAGGGAAGGCCTGACTTTCCGACGTGGTGATTCGGGAAAAATTAGCGCCACCCATTCGAACGGCGTGCCGCGCACAAGCACGTAGTGCAATGCTAACTAATTCGCGCGTTTTCTTCTGCACAGCTCCGGGGCTAGGCTAGGCTAGGCTAGGGCATCGTGTTGACTTGTAGAGAGGAAGTTGCTGAAGCATTCAGAGGTGTCCCAACCATTGTGCGTGAAAGAAGTTCCAAAAACCAATCCCTTTGTCATGAACACAGTCTCCCTTAATCTTAGCCGTAACGGACCCATACCTTGACGTCGTCAGAGTCAGTCACCACACAAATTTAAATTCTGTTTTCTAGGATATGACTTGCTGATATCAAACAATGCAAAAATGGAGACGATGGACGGTGCATATATGCCATTCAATCTATACGTAACAATTCTGAATAATCCTCTTCTCGTACTGGATTGTTCACACGTTTTGGCATTCTATAATAATAAAAGAAGAATTCGTGGGAATCGGGAAAACTGTGGTGAGTATGATTTCACGCCCCACTATATAATTCAGCCTTATTCTTCTCCCTAGCGTTAGTCCCGCGCCGTCGCAGGGTCCGGTGCCTATTATATAATTCAGCTAGCTACTAGTAAAGAGCAACGGTCCATACGTCTTCTAGCATTTAAAACACTTTTATTACTAAGCAGCTGCGACAGTTTTCAGTCGCTAACAAAACAGCGATGAGGCCTTTCTGATTTGTCACCGCTTTTTAGATGAGATTTGTCTACTTTTTGGCTTTTCAATATTCTTTTTTCGATTGACATCTACATTATTGGGTTCAAACTGTTCAATATGATCAGTCAGATTTGTATTACGGTATATGGCCATGCAAGGAACTTGTCTAAAATTTTTATAATAATTAAGAATGATTGTTAACTCGCACCCAATGGTCAGTATAGTGGATTAGTCAAAAAGGATGGGGTGAATTTGGTCGTCTTCCATACAGAACCGTGGCGAACGTCCGTTGCGCGCGTTCGTCGAAGGAAGGTCACCCCGCTCACTTCGCGCGCGGCGCACCCCACTGAGGTCTCGAGATGACATTACAGTACCATCAAGTGTGAGTAGAGCAGCCGATTTGCATTTGTCCATGTTATCTTCCCATTGGCTGACTGCCGTGGACCAAGCGCAACCGTACGCATCATGACAACTGCGACGTTTGTCAAGTATCGCGGGCTGACCCGCCGCATGCGACGGCTGCGGCGTAACCTAGTTTCTACGGACGCGCGTAACGAAGCGCACCCACAGAAGAGACTGTTACCAATTAACCGACCCCGGAGGGATGGAAAGCTTGGTTAGCCAAGGCGGGTATTGATCCAAGATTGGAACCCTTGACCATGCGCGTGAGATTGTGCACCACCTGCCACTAAACCACCTCCGCCCGTTTCAATCAATATTGATCGCAAGTATGTATTTTAAGAATCCATGAGGAACGTTGGAAGCGATCGGTAGGTTGCATAACCAAAAAATGAAATCTCACTATCAATAAGCCCAGGTTATCGATCAAAACATCGATTTGTTAGCAGGCATGTTGATGTTTGATACAGCAGGCAACTATATCGAGATAGTCATATGAGAATTCGCTTCCTAAAGCATGCGCTTACTTAAATTCAGAAGTTTATCAGTTTATTACGCCTTTATAAGGCACAAGTTAGGGAATTTGAGGAAATAAAATTTCCTTTTGATAATTAAGCAATTAGAAGACAAATACAAGCATCATTTATCACTTTCCATACAATTCAATTGCTACGGTAGAATTCAGGTAGTTTCCGGGTCTGACCAACTTCAGAGGTTCCTCAATTTCTTCAACCCCTGACAGTATTTTGGCATCAATTAAAACTATGGATTCGGTTAAAATCGTGCATTGTTTCAGGGTGTGAACTGGATGGACCAGTAACACAGGCGCTTGCGTCTACTTTGGACGATAACTGCATAGCCATATTTGGTAATTTTATTCTTCCACCACTGGATGCACCTTCTTATGATACTCTATTACGGAAATTTGGCACTGTTACCACTATAAATGGTGAAGTAGCAATAGTCGGCACGGAACTTGTCGATTTGAACTTTCTTGGGAGTTTAAGGAAAATATTTGTGGAATACGACCTGAAAGGTGAATTTTCTCATTAAAAAGATTAAGTCCTTCTCCTTTGTCAGTTAATGTGCATGTACATCATAAACGGTTCAAAACAATTCCTGCTACTCTATTGCAGCTACCGAATTTGTGGAGAAATTTCTTCGAATCGAGAATAATGAGAAACTCAAAAGACTGGGTTGGGTTCTTCAGGTGTGTCTTCCAGTCATTGTAAAATCAGAGTTTCTCATAAGAATCGTTTCCTTAGACCTACTGAATTATTCTATCGCTTTATACTATTGCTCTGGTCACCTCGCTAAAATGATTTCAGTTTCAAGTTGGTAGGTCCTGAGATGAAAATATAGTTGGGGGTAATACATCGTTCTTTTCCAACATTGGAGTGGAGCGCAGAGAGGGGGGAGTCGGGAGACGGGCGTTAGGAACGGTTTCGGGTAATCGATTTGCCGCACGCGGCTGTCGCGGACCACTCATTCGCCGTTATTACAGGTCAAGCGTTCTTCGTACAGCTCAATCGATAGGCGATGATTATTTTATGCATGATTCTACTATTAGTGCTTTCGTTCTTGTATTTCTTGTCTACTGCTGCATCCTGCTACATTCCTTCGCGCGCGACACCCCTCTCACCGCGACGCGACCATTTCGTTCCTAACGCACCACACCCGGGGGGAGTCGACTCTGTGGGCATATACTGGCTTCTTAGCCGATAAGGTGTAATTTTTTTCACCTGAGTTTCAAATGGGAGAGGGCACTACTGTTGGTGAGACAACTGTATATTTGATTATTATCCCAGCCCAGGTTTTTGCACGAATTATTCATCCCATCCACAAGGTGCTACTCCCCTCTTTAGACCTAAGTAAAGTATATTCTTTCGATTAAAAATCTTCCTCGAATAAATTTCAGGTCTCCTCGTATACCATACTAGGCGCTTTAGGTCGGAAAACGGTTAGGGTGTTATAAAGGCTGGAATTTTGTCCCGTCTGTATGCGCGGACGAATTTTAATGGCATTGTAGTGGTCTCCTTATTCAAAAGGAAACTCATGTAGGCATTCCAAACATTTTCAAACATTTCAAACTGGACAGTTTTGGCTTGATGTAGTCAACTCTTTGCGCCAATGAAATCTCGTCCTTTAAAAGCCGTCTCTAAGCATAAACAACATGGAGCTCCAGAGCGCAGACAAGGCTAGAGTCCATGAGCGCCCGAAATTCCATGCCGTATGATTCACTGCTGTTTATTTTAGAAAAAAAAAATCCGGAAAAATCTTCACCGTTGACTTCCATCTTTGATTTAGTCTGCTGGCGTGATTACGGTCCAGATTTCGGGAAATCCTAACCTGTGCTATACTTCAGCCGAAGTGTCTGGTCTGCTTACTTCAGATTATATAAATAGTATTGATGGAAGAATCTGTGAAGGTAACAATGAATTTATGGCTCTACTGCTTTCAAATTAAATCTCTTTTTTGATTTGTCGAAAGGTTAATGGAGGTTACTATGGAAAAATTTTAACAATAGTCAGCTGCCATATAAACAGGAAGTTGTGAGAGGAAATCTCATGAGGAGGAAGCCCATGAACCTCGGTGTTTCTCGCCTACAGTACCGTGTGAGAACGTCCTATTGACTGATTACTGGTAATAGTAGATTGCTAAGAATTGTAAGAATTGGAGCACATTACTCCGTCGTTGGGCATCTGCCTAACGCAACTCTACCTTCTAAGAAGCCAAGAAAACAGATAGATCCCAATTGGGCCATTGGATAGTCCATGAGCACCGGCTACAGCTGGTAACTTGTGCTAGAAAAACAATAGACAGCAAAATAAACAAAGTAGAAACCAGTTCTTCTCTCTGATTTTCACATTGCAGATACAGGAGTGATAGATGGTGGTGAAGATGCCAAACTTACGTGCAGAATTGGCGGAGATAGTAATCTGGCAAATATTCCTGCCAATTGCGGATCGCTGGTTGGACGGCTCACGATAGACAACACCACAAACTCCTCGGAGTTATGGAAACTATTCAATGTGACTGCAATTTATGGACAACTGCATATCAAAAATGCTTCAATCACTGGACTTGCTGCATTGTGGAAAGTGGAACGGGTTATCAGTTTCCAAGGTCAGTTCATTCAGTTGTTACCAGGCGATGGGTGTCGGGAGGGAGTAGGAGAGGGGACAAAAGAGGGGCGGAGGGACGTGTGAGTAGTATTTGGTATTTGAGCAAAGGCTTTCACCCACCCATTCGAACCCATCTTCAATCAGCATCATGAAACTGAGGCGTTTGACCGTCTGAAAGTATCGACAGAAGCCATGAAATGAGACCCTTTTGGAATCCCTAGGTTTGCTTTATTTCCTACCTCTTTTCGCGCTGAAATAGCAAGGAGTAATTCGCTTTCCTTCCTCCCAAAGCCTATCTTCAAACATCTGACTGGCTGCTATTCGTCTGTTCTACTTCATTCTTCTATAAAATACCTACAAAAATGTGGCTTCTATGGTCCCGGGATCAAATCTTGGATCGGATTCTGCCTTTGTTGCCCCATTCCTTACTATGCATCGGATAACCGATTGTGAGAGGGACTAGGGAGTTGAATGACCGTCCTAACAAAAATTAATTAAATTCAAGTGATTTATTTTACTTTGTGTATAATTTAGAGAATGAGACGGCAGTGGTGGTGGAATCGAATCAACGTCTGAAGTCGTTCTTTTTGGAGCGTATCAAATTGATATATAGGTTGGTCATAAAGCGTAGACGTCACAATAAACATTTCATATTTTATGCCAGACATATTTATTCCAGTAAACAGCCGGTAAGAATCCAGAACAACCCTGTTATGATGCTTATGGACGACGATTGTAATGATTTGAACAAAACAGCAAAGGTCGAAAGCGCAGGAAATCGCCGAAATTGTCCAGGTATTGGTGGTTACAACATCTAAGCAAGCTGATCTATAATTTTGTCATGGTAAAAACGAATGCAATGAGTCTGCGAATATTAGATGATTGGCTCAAATCACCGAAGTTCAGAGCTCCAACATCACTACGATATGCTTTAGGTTCTATATGGGAAGGCAGTTACTGGCTCAGTATTAGACAGTTCGCTCTTCCCACAGACATGCTTTTTGTTGGTCAATGCTATCTTTTCCTTTTTTCCAATAGCTGAATAACTTTCAGTAAATTCACTTCCTGAAGTAGTTAGCTAGGTAAGACTGGTAGGAAAGTCCCCTTTGCGTCCTCTATACGCCTGCTTCTCGGAAACAAATGTCAATCCGGAGGCCTATTCGATGTTCGGGCATGATATACCGCGGATTGGGCGGGAGCAGATACTCTGACTACGGTGGACAGAGCCAAAACGCGCCTTTTCAGGGCGCACGTACTGGGAATCACTCAAACTCATCAGGGAGGCAGCACATGTATATCGACTGCTTCAGCAATTTTTTTGGACGAAATACACATTGAAATGCCTCTATGACTTTGAATGGAAGTCAAATACATGGGCGCATTCCTGAATGGCTCGATCAATGCCAAATTGTATCCTTTCAAATAGCAGAATGGCTTGAGTATGTAGATTCTCGCAGGAGAAGCGAGAAAAGGATCAGAAAAGTGATCCCTATGACATTTTTTTTTTCGAGAAGTGGAGATCGATGATGTAGGCTTCATGAGTAATTACGAGATTTTACAGAAATAACCAAAGCATCTACGATGACACACGATGAATTTTTCCAAGCAAATCTACGACTACTTTTATCATCGCTGTTTTACATCTACCTGCAGCGAGGACAGCATTTTTCATGATCTCAAACTGTACTTAATATAGTGGGTTCACTTGTACTCTTGCTGTTTTAATGTAGCCTTTTGACTGATCATAAGAAATGTAGAGTTGGCAAGAAAGTTATGCTGTAAAAAATTTGAAGCGTTAAAGATTTTTGCAAGTAAGGTGAACACGGTAAAAGGATGCTAAACTGCTGAGATACTCCCCTGGCAACCTGAAGATGAGTAAACAAGCTGGTAGGTTTCTGCAGCATTACTGAATGGCATATCTTCCTACAATAGCAGAAACTATTGGGTTGTAACATAAGTTCGTAGAGTTTTTTCACAAAGATT